CCAGATTAGCTACAGAGAGGCTTCAGGACAACAGAGTCAGTGGAGTGGAGTGGCCATCACAAAGCCCTGATCTCCATCCTGGAGAACATCAGTGGAGCAAGGAGACCAACAAACCTGACCCAGTTCAACCAGTTCTGTCAGGAGGAATGGGCCAGAACTCATCAGACTGTTGTGAGAAGCTTGTGGAAGGAAACCCAGAACGTTTGACCCAAGTCATAGAGTTTAAAGGCAACACTAGCAGATACTGAGGAGATGGATGGAAACTTCTGGTTTCAACAATCAGTGCAGACCTCACACAGGGTACGAGGTGCAATCAGAAAGTCATGAACTGACTTTAATTTGGTCGCCATCCACCTTGAAGTAGTCTCGTCGTGCAGCGATGCTTGAAAGAAGAACTTCTTGATCACACCACCAACAAAAATAAACAAAATATCTTGATATCTATGAACTAAATCATACAAAAGATGGAACAAAACAACCCGACAATCCATCAAATCAGGCTTCGCTCAGTCAAACTGTCATTTTTATGGACTTGGCAGATAAACCGCAGCACAAAGTTTCCTCTTGTCCTGTTGGTTCACTTTTGTTTTCTGCTCTCTTCTCTACAGAGTAAATACAAGGAGGGCAGCAGGAGGAGCCTCTCGCAGAGTTTCTACTCCCAGCTCCCGGAAACCGCCGAGACTCAGTTCGCGAAAAACGTCGCCGAGCTGCAGAGCGAGGTGAGGCGGACGACGATCGCCACACCGCCGGGACTCGTTTCTGGTTTTTCCGCCTCTTTCATGAGCCTTCTCGTTTTCAGATGCGGTACAAAGAGTCGGGCAAGAAAGGCGTGAACTCGTGTTTGTACTCTCTTCTCCCGGAAACTCTAGAGACGGCTCATGCCAAGGAAGTCTCAGAGCTCCTCAGTGAGGTACGAAACTATGATAATACCGATGGTATTAGTTCGATACTCTCAGATTTACCTGATAAGACTTGAGTTGTTTTTCCAAGACTCTCTTTCTGTCTGGATGCATGTTTTTTTTTTTTTTTCCTGATGTTTGCAGGTCAAGTACAAGGAGGACGGTAAGAAGGAGATGAGCATCAACCTGTACTCTCTGCTGCCCGAAACCATCCACACCCAGCACGCTAAAGAGGTGTCCAGCCTGCAGAGTGAGGTGAGGAGTCGAGCTGCTTTGTCATCTTAAAGCAACAACTTGTGCCCAGCTTGAATTTATCTGGGACCCACCTCGATGGCTTAGCCTCTGGGGAAAGCAGCCCGTGTCTTGTTTTTTAGGGTGTAATATGCATTATTGTTCACCCCGTCTTCTGCTGGGCAAACACAGAAAAAGGTTTGAACGTGCTCGGAACAAAATGACGTAAAAGCTGTACGACCGATCAAAGCTGTACGACTTCTGAGACTACGACAGGAGCAAAAACACCTAAAACACTTTGGCGTCTGGAGGCTTTACCCTTTATTTGATGGAAATAGTCTCGTATCATCAGTGATTTTTTTCCTTTTTGTGTCATTCAAGCGTCTTTATGTGTCATTTTTGAGTGTTTTTGGTCAATTTTAGACTCTTTTTGTGTCATTTGAGNATGAATGAATAGGTAGATGAATGAATAAATGGATGGATGGATTATTGAATATGGATGAATGGATTTCAATGTGTGGAAAAATGTGCTCAAAGTGGGTCAAAAAAAAAAATCTTGTCAAAGAAAGTGTTTCAAGCCAAATTTTCACTGATAAAATTTAAATCTGAATATTTATTATGATTTAGCTGAAGATTACAAGAATGTCACTTTTTTATTTCAGATCTTCTAATTCAGCTCCAGTGTGTTTTAGCCCAGACCTCGTTAAACTCTCATTTCCTTCAAAGTCTGCAGCTCTTGTCACAGCAAAAGCCCTTTCTCTGCTCCTCAGAACAAGTACAAGGAGGAAGGCAGGAAGGAGATGAGCAGCAGTTTGTACTCTCAGCTCGCCGAAACCACCGAAACGCAGCTGGCCAAGAGCGTCCACGAGTTCCAGAGCGAGGTACGCCGACACGCCGCCGCGCAGCAGCGTTTCAGCATGTTTCATCAGTCCACTCGACGGCTGTTTAACGCAGCAGCTGCAGGTTTGATCAGGCTGCAGGTCTGGCCGAGAAGCACACAGACGTTCTTACTTCAGATGCAGCCGTCGGGATGAATCACACATTCATTTAAACACGCTGCATCTGAGCTCTACACCCGTCAGAATTACCGGAGCTCTTGTCGCTCTCACTCATTCTAAAACGGAAAATGAGGAGCTGATTTATTTTATTTTTTTTCTTGTTTTGTTTCAGAAAAAGTACAAAGAAGAGGGGAAGAGAAAGGCCTCCGTGTCGCTGTACTCGCAGCTTCCGGACACTCCAGAAATACAGCACGCTCTGGAGGTGTCGCAGCTGCAGAGTGAGGTACAAACTAACCGACATGAGCCGTATCAAGGACTAGAACCTGTGTTTTATTGATCCAGTGCGTTTCATTTTTCTACACACGACTATTTTGAACGAGCTTTGTGTCATTTTGAATGTGCTCATCAGCTGTAAAATGATGTTTCACCGTGCTGAATGTGTCTTCCAACAACTCGCTCCTCTGTTCACCATCTTGGCTGAATTCATTTTATTGATCCACCATGTTTTATTTCCCTTTCAGTCTCTCCGCTAAAAGCTGTTCCTCCTGCAAAGCTTCTGCACAAACTGCGAGAACAAAGAACAACTCAATACGAAACTGTGGAGCGTGTTTATCTTTTGTTCATCTCACAAGCTTCAGCAGTTTGCATAAAAAGCTTTTGTTTCCAAATCAAGGCTTTTCTTTCTTAGACATTTTTCTGTGATCCACTCTGGGGGAAAAAAACAACTTAGCGGGGATTTCCTGGTTAAATGAAGGTTGAATTTCAGGAATAAGTTGTCTCACTGCTGGAAGCTAAAATTAGCTTCAGCTAGATGTGTTCTGACACTGAATGAGAACTTCAGATATTGTCCTCCATCTCATTAGTTTGAATGCAGTAGGAGCATTTTCCTGTTTTGGTACTTGTGAACAGGCCAGTGCCGCATCTTTTTCTCACGTGATCTCTTCCAGGTGAATTATCGGCCCAAGATGCTGGTTAAAGGCGCTCCGACGTCGCTTTACTCTCAGCTCCCCGACACCGCCGAGATCCAGTTTGCCAGAGAGATGACCGAGCTGCACAGCGAGGTACGGCACAAAACCGTCGCTTGGTCTTTGATTAAATGTCATTCCGTCATGTGTATGTGCAGAGTTTGCTCAAGAGCAGGAATTCAGGATTTATCTGGATTTGAATGGAAAATGTCCAGAACCCAAAGTCGTCAAGCTTCAT